ATTGTCGTCATAATAGAAAGATGATTTTTGATATAAGTATTAGATTTTTTAAAACTTCATAAAACTTTTGACAGTATTAGGAAATGTAAATTAATCTTATTTATTTATTAGACAAGTACACACAACAGATAAATTATGCAACATTAACAAAAGTAATATAATATACAACAAAATAAAACTGATAATTTATCCAATAACAGGTGTACAACATTGATACAAAACAAACAAATATAAAACACAAAAAAATATATATGAACAAGCCAAGAAAAAGAAAGAAATAATCTAATAATATATTTAGGTCTGTGTCTCTGTAGGTGTGGAAATTAGTTTTTTGATATTGTGTAAGGAGGAGCAGTAAATATCAGTATTATCCTTTCCCCTTTTTAATTCGTTATATGTCCGACATTTCCGTGGGATAGAGATTATAAGAGAATAGATATTGGTAACCATGTCAATAATTAAAGATGTTTAAAAATGTACATTCATAACGACGTCAATTAGACATTTCTAATGCAAGTAGCAAATCCTATCGCTTAATCCGATATGTACACCTGGTGCTGAGACATACGATATAACTGCACACGCGTCTCAGGCTGTACTTGTATGTTCATTGTATATCAGCTAATGAGGTAGAGTTACAGTTCATCAAAGCAACTTTAGAACAAAGATTTAGAGATAATCTTACTAACCTTATCTTACTAATTCATACTATTCTTATTTTTACTTTTAGACATTAATAGTAAGAATCATTTAGAGTGAATGGTGCGCGCTTTCATTACCAAGTGAAGTGTCGGATTGATTAGTGAGGGGACATAAATGTTGATATTTTAATAAGGCTAGTGTTGCGCTGATACACCGGCTTGGTGTCGGACTTTCTTCCTAACATCACTAATATTATTAATGCGAATATTTAGATGAATAGATGGATGAATGTTTCTTTGAAGGTATCTCTAGAATGGCTGAGCAGATCGCGATGAAATATGGCATACATATAGAACATAGTCTGGAGGAACACATAGGCTACTTATTATGCTTTTTTTTAATCCCGCGCGGACGGAATCGCGGGCGACAGGTAGTTTTCCGATAAAACTGAAACAACATTTAATCAATATCTGTACCGCAATACATTTTACTCGATTTAAAAATTACTATGCAATAAACTGAGTATGAATCTGGAAAACGTAATTTCTTCCTCGGAAAGAATAGAAAAATTACTGAAAGTATATGATGTGATAACATAGAACAAACGCGTAGTAATATTCAAGTCAGAGATTTCAAATGTCAAGCGCGGCGAGGCGAGGGTGTCAAAATCTGAGCAAATGTGTTTATGCAAATTACGTACAACATTAACATCGCTCCTTCAGGAAAGATAGCTTACACACGTGTTTGTTTTGTAAATAACTCACAGCTCGCAGCCGAGCACAAAGCGCACCATTACTTATTTAAATTAACTTTGGATTCTCCAGTCGAATATTGTACATAAGCTAATTTGTAATCTTCACTATTGATGTCTAAAACTATTACGTTTTCCTAAATCGGCTCTTCATATCAAAAAATTGATTTAACCTATATATTATTACTTTTACCTTAGCGCGATAGTAGACAATTGACACACACTACCAAACACTCGTAGCACTATTTGCTACGAATGCTACATGGTCAATCAATCAATCAATCTTAAGACTGGAGTAATAATATAGGGTATGTTACCGTAATTACCCGACTTGCGCGTATTTCGCGAAAACTGTTATTATTTTATTATTAATACAGAAGACAAGAAAAACGGTAATAAAGAATAGTTGTAACACCTCTGGGTACGCAGAAACGCACACTCTGTAATACGCAGAAATATGTGTATTTTTGTTTCGATGTTAGTCCTTGTTTTGTTCCGTTTTAATTATTTATTATTTACATCATAATTACATCTAATTTATTAATTCTTACCCAGGATTTCTTGTTGTTGCAATTTCTTTTACCAACATTACTGTTTTCTATTTAAGCATTACAAGATTTTAATAAAGGTTTAAATTAAAATGTTAAAAAATCAACACTTAAGAAAGCATAAACGTTGTTAACTAACAAGTCACAATTTTAATAAGAAAGAACAACAGCCGCTTCCTTCGTTGAAATTTCAAACAGAAACTGCAAGCAGGATTGTTTTATTTGACGTTCACTTGTTTTAACTTAGCTTCGACTGTTTGGATTATTATTATAAAACACCGTACAAAAAAGTTAATAAGTTTTTAGTCATGATTTATGAAATAAATTAAGCCAAGGTATCCTTTGGAACGTACGCGGCTACGTACTGGGGAAGGCATTGGGTAAGGCCTATGCCCAGCAGTGCGCAGATAATGACTATTGATAATGATGATGATGATGATCCAATTAGTTTCGAATCTTCTCTGACACATCGATGAAACCAAGAATATATTTTTACTACTGTTTCGGCGATGGGAAACTTTCATGATATGTTTCCATACCAAAATTGTAATAAATCTATCGACATTCATTTGTCTATCAGTGCTCTGTCAATGTAACTAACGCAGCATAAATATAAATTAAACATAAATCAGTAACGCACAACGAATCACACAGCTGCGGCAAATAATGCAAATTTGATTATTCAGCGCGAATTAGACTGCTATTGAAGCAAGTAACATCGCTGTAGATACTAAATTAACTCGTATACAACTCTGTATCAAATTAATGTTGAGCTTAAAATCTTCTATAATAAAATAAATTCTTATACTTAATTAAAAGTTCCTTACAAATTTACTTAATCTAGGATTTTGTGAAGTATTTAAGTGATTTTGCTAGTATTTAAATTTTGTACACAATTTCTATTACTAAATCGCTCAAACAACTAATAAATCTTTTTAAGCAACTCCAAATTATCTTTAAACCAAAATAATGCCAACTTTAGGAACTTTAAAATGATTAGCTAAATAAATTAAATACTTGTCATCATCATTGTCATCTTTCACAATTACATTTGTTGGAATATTGAATTAATGAAGATAATAATCTTGTAAACTTCTAAACAAATATGTAATTGATTGAATTACAAACAAGTACTAATATGAATTGTTCATGCAAAACAAAGGATGTAAATAAGCGATGGTGGACATTCAAAACATGCGGTAAATCTGACGTGCGTCTAGCGGCGGCGGCGGCGCATTCAATTTGAATTCGTGCATTATGAATGCGACAGGTCATTTCGAGCTCTGGGTACGTTTGCCGCATCTAATTACGCATAATGCCTTACTCCATATACAGATTCATGTACCGATTTGAATATTTGATTAAAGCCTACATTGCATACTCAAGTTGCAAAGAATTATTAATATTACTCACATCTTATCCATGTAACTACATTTTAACAGATGTTTACTCTTTGGAATAAAAAAATAATAAATCAAATCACTTCTCATAAATGTCCACCAAAACGATATACCATTTTTATTGGATTTACAAAAAAAGAGACAAAGAAAGCAAAAATAAAAACGATCATAGGACATAATCAAATTACTCATCACCCTATATTTATGTGGTGAAGCACAATGTAAATTTTCCTTCGCGTCAGATTCCTATGTGATCGTTAAAAATTTGACCAACCCAGTGGTATAGTAGTGAAGCTTTTAACCATCACAGTTTTAGTTTGCACATTACACGTAATACCCAAAATTAGCTTAAAAAGTGATTCTGGTGAAAATTACCATTTTGGGAATCCGGAATAGGTTTTATAATAGCTTTCTGTAATTGCTTTTTACTATAAAATTCTACATTTATAAAAATAAAACTCTGGTTAAGATCATTCTTATGGTAAACTTTAAAAAAGCTTAGTTTAGTAAAAGCTTCGAGTTGTTAAGAATATACAATGAATGTTTAGTTCGCGTCTAGATAGGAAGCTTTCTAGATTAAGTTTTAATACTAAATGAATATACTTCAATCGTTGAATAAATTGGAGTACATGTTGGTGTACTTTCATTATTAATGCATCTAATACTTATTTACCGAAGCTTCGTTAATAAGTCATGAAAGTTGAAAGCTTTTCTGTTATCTTGAATTTAAACACTAAACTGTATTTATAACATTAACAAATTAAAAAACCTTCATCTATATAACGCACTATACGTAAAATTGCGGAGAAATGATTCTCTCAAGATAACTACGTACGTAAGACACTCAAAGACATGCAGTTCTTTATTATTGCCCCTAATTCATTAACTAATTTACTGCACCAAGTCCATATTTTGACATTGAAGAACAAGCTAAAGACCTTTTATTATTATCTGCAAGTCCTTTTTTGAGATTCTTTTATACTGTTCACATTTTAGTTGCTTATAGTCAAGTTCTACAAAAATTGAGAATAATATTAGTAACATTGTAAGTCCCTACCATCGAGATATAACAAATATTAATTGTTATTTGGTTATGTAGGAAGTTATTATCGTTTACGTAAGTATACATGTTCGTATTGTTTGGAGCACAATCAAATATTCAATGAAGCCGTCCAGTCAATCTACGATGCAAGACGTAATGTGCAATTAGATTCGGTGCCCGCTCCCAGCGCTAACGCTGACCTGGCGGCTTGGCGGCGGCTATATGCTATGTGCTAACTCAAATTGAATGAACAGTCAGACGTTTGTCCAATTTGCTAAATACTAATAATAAATTATTCAATATCACTTACAACTTATAATTACAAAACATTTTGGTTTATTTTAATATAATTATTATAATATGAAATTGTCATGTAATAAAAAACAAAAAGCAGTCATGAAGGAATACAGATTTCTCGCGGTAAGTCCTGTATCCATATTGGTGCCATCCTTCGAATTGTATCAAATTCCATGAAATTAAATTAAATACTCTTAAAGTTAATTACCTTGACATATTATATATTTTCATTTTAAGGAGGAAATATGATGGATGACTTGAGTCGTTGTTTCAATTATGCTAAACTAAATAAATGCAGAAATTCCAAGCACAACCCTCACCTGAGTTCTCCCAGCCAGCCGGCGCACTGATTGCTGTAATCAAAGAAAATGCGCTAATTAACTAGGGTCCCAATTTTCTTCGCAAAAATCTCACGTACAGAGCCCTTAGTTATTTGCAAAAAAAAAATTTATAAATAAATCAAGTCTTCTCTTGTTCGTTTTATTTTAATATTTACTTAAATGTTACGTATTTTAGCTTAGCTAAAGTTCCATTATAGCTTATCTGTTTAAGAAACTAAAACATTTAATAGCACAAAGTAAACTCTTTGCGTTTAATCTAATATCTAATTGAAAAAACAATTGTTTAAAATAAAATTTAAATTTACATTTCTTCGTATAATATTCTTAATGAACATTAAGATTTTATGTAGTGAGTCAAACCTTTGAAGGGATTACGCCATGCTTTTGATTGTTGCAATTTGTATTAGAACTCAAAGCGAAATCCTTCTGCTTGCAGGGGCGCTGAATTTAATCTCAAATCATAGGCTGTCCCTTTGAAGTCTAGTCTGAATTATCAAAGAGCAAGACGCTCGTAATAGACTACTATTAGAAACTACTAAATGTTCATTTACTTATCAAAATTGTGTAATATTAAAGCCAAAATTAAGTTTCAAAACTTCTTAAATGTAAAATTTTAGGAAAATTAATAAAATATTATAGATTTTATTGAAACGTCTTATGGAATCACAAACGTTGGTTGAAAGTGTCCAAACAGTTTGTTCAGCTCTAAGGCAGTCATAACTTACATTTAACTGGGAGCCGGGGTGTAATCTCGGAACGGGGAAGCGCAAAATAACCTTAGCTATTCCTTCACTCTGTTATTTTACCTTTATTCCCTCTTATTTCTAAATTATCAAGTATCTGATAAAAATAAACACTGTTTTTTCTATGGATTTAGGGATAAAAGTAAGTTATATTATTAAATACTACCGAATAAATTAAATTAAATTTAAATATGTAAAGGTAAAAAGAGTACATGCTGTGCCTTCAATAGTCAAATAGGCCTCCTTGCCTTGGTGATAAATCCATGATTAAAAACGACTTTTAATATTGTTGTTAAGTTCACTAGTACGATTCAATGCTATGCCTGTTGCAGTATTACACTGTGCGAGCAGTCTGCAGCGATTTTAAAACTCTTCAGTTTTGACACGTTTCATTAAAAAACTGGCGAGACATCCCCTCACAATTGTAAGGCAGAAAAAACCTTTTGAGACAGTTACAATTAAAAATAATACGATCTTTTTTCAAATGCCATTTATATTGTATGAATTTTATAAAAAAATATCAAAGTTAAAAAGTAAGTTAGGGTTGTTTATAATATCTATTTGACCCTAAGTTCTTCTTAACTCTCTTGGTAACGGGCGTTTTATTTGCTATTTATGATTCTATTATGTGTGAAAGCACCCCTTTGTAGCAAAGATTGGAATGACGCCAGAAGACTTCGGAAAATACAAATTGTTTATTCCTATTTGACAAGTCTCTTGAGATGTTACCCAACTGTAGGCTTTTAACTTGACGGTCAAGAGATAATAAAAATAGGACAACGTCGAAATATTAATAATACTTCAAAAAAACTAAAATTTCTTTGAATGCAGCATGATAATATGTAGTTCATAAGTTTCGTAGATTTTACGATTATTTCTTTATTTTCTTTCGTACAAGTGAATGAGTTTTACAGGTAGAATAAAATTCCAAAACAAAATAAAGGTTTTATGTTACTTACCCCGTGGCTCCCTCGAGGGCGATACAATTTGGAAGAACAAACGACCGAAAAAAACTGAAGTTTTACTTAAAATAAACAAAAGCGTAATTTTGGTTCAAAAAGCTTCAATTAGGTTTTGTTTACTCTTTGCATTTAATAATCAGTTTAATTTCATATTCTTTAAGATTCTCTATAACGTATATAAAAGGTTTATTCAACACGATCACAATATTGTCCAAATGTTTTCTATTGGTTTTAACAGTAGCTGTATTGAATACTATATAGAATGAAAATAAAACCACGATTTAAAGTTACGCAAAATTCACGTTCCGACTGACTTTTGACTGTTGTTTGCCGACTACCTTGCAATTACTTTTTTAAACATATACAAACATTTTCTCTAACTACCTTGGTAATAATCAATACTTCACAGATAACAAAACGGTAGGTTTTGGTACTAATACAGATTACAAATAAAATATCATAAAACGATTTGATATTATAATGCATCGTCAACAAATACTGTACTTTATTTTAAAAAAAACTACGAATATAAATCATCCAAAGAGGATACTATACGGCTATATAGTTAACTGAAGGTTATGTTGTTGTACCAGTGTGGCAAAGTGTCATGTCTGTGTTTTACCCTAATAACTTCCCATGTTGCGAGTCGTGATAAATATTTGCGAGTCTTTCCCGTTTCATATAATGAATTACAGAAAATGGTGAAACGCGCATAGTTGCAAGGCGCAGGTTAGCTTTTATGACAATAGAGTTAAAGAATATCGATAAAACATGGAGAAAATTTTATTATTTTTTTTTATTTAATATTATGTTCGTCAGTTTGTCTTTTCTTAATACAAAATCAACTTGTGATGATTATTATCTACTACAACCCATATAGCTCTGTTTTATTCGACTTTAATTTGAAGCAATTAAATTTTATAAAAAGTCCTATGCGATTCTGAGGATGAAGAATTTATTATTCTCTCACTATTTACATTTTCATAAAATGTAGCTTTAAAAAAATAAACATCTAGACGAGCGGAGATTAAACTTATTCTGAGGTTAAATTCAGTTTTCTAAAGTTGCATCTAACGTAAGCTGACGTTACATTTGGAAAATGGCATTTCATATAATTTATAATGCATTTTGCAACTGTTATATACAAATTCGTGTTTGTTTATCGAAACTACTAACTAAAGGAAACTATACAAAAAATAACAGTATTTAATTATTTCAAAACAAAAAAACAAATATCCCGATACAGAAGAAAAATACGAATCGAATGACACCAAGCGCTTCAAAAATAACTCAGGAGTTTAGAGTACAGGAGCTGACAGTGGTTATCCACCACCGACATAATACTATTATAATAATATAAATGCGAATGTTTAGATGAATGGATAGATGTTTGTTGAAAGGTGTCTGCAGGACTTTGTCTATATGTAGAACATAGTCTAGAAGAACACATAGGCCGCTAATCTTTTTAACCCGCGCATACGGAATCTTCCGCGACCGCTAGTAGATAATAAATACTTACGTATGAAAATCATGACCCACCGGAGTCAGTCGGGAAATAATATCGAGTTAATCTAATCCATAGCACGTTCAGCACCGAGTTGCTGTCTCATATTAAATATCCTCTATCTTAGTAACCTTGTAGCATCGTTGGCGTCGTATTTTCTCATAGATGCCCGTTTGAGCGTCGCTAAGGCGATCATAACTCACACTTAAATATAGCCCGAGGTGTAATCTTAGGACTTACAATAATCCCGCCGCTCGATCTTTAAAGTTCAGTCTTATTTTCCTTTTCATTTTAGTTTAAAGATTTTAATGGAATATTAACCAATCAAATTCAGTAATGGCATAATGTTTAAAAAGAAAAAGTTTACTTTTATAAAATCAATCTTACTAATCTGACTAATATTATAAATATTTGGACAGATGGATTGTCGTTTGTTGGAATGTATTTTCAAAACAACTGAACAATTCCCGTACGTAGTCTGGTAGAACACATAGGCTACTAATTTTTTTTTTCAGTACAGACGGAGTAGCTGGTGACAGCTAGTGATCCCATAATTTTTGAAGTTAGAATAAAGACGGTATTATGACTTAATATGGTTTTTATTATTGAAATAAATATTATAATACTACAATAAACATAAAGAACATTCAATCGTATGGTAAATCCGTGATCAATTTCGTCCCGTTTTCTATCGTTGCAATTTCAACTGACAGTCAAACCGAATCCTTCTGCTTTCAGAGTTCGCTGAAGCCTAGTCCAAATTATCAATGGACAAAGCGACAAAAGCAAAATGACTTTACAGACTTCGTATTATTTGTTTATTTTACTAGAAATTTATGTTAAAGCTAAGCGTCCTAAGGTTGGTATCAGTCGGATTAAGATTACATCATATTTAATTAGAAATTTCTAATATACCTGTATATATCAGTAACAACTCCTATCGCTGTACTTAAAAAGGAATGTTACGTACACAAGACCGAGTAACAATGACTTTGTGTAAATAATTATATAAATACATAGTTTATGTAAATTAATAATTGAATGTTAAACACAAAAGAGGTAAGATATTACGAGAAATATGT